CATAGTAACGCAGTTGATCTTTAACCTATTTTTAACAAAAACCATTAATCATTATTTGATATATTATACGACAGGACAAACAGTGTCCTATATACATGTTTATTAATAAAGCGTGAATACATGTTAAACTTGGTAAGACTCTGGGGAGCCGAAGCTCCCCAGAATAGGATCAGTGAATTTATCAAGATGTTCCTCACACGCCGTGCGTAGCAATACCAGGCCTTTCTTTAACAAATAGCGGCTGGTACACGAGACGCCGGTGCGAGCATGTGTTTTCTGAACAACAAATTACAAATTGTTGCGTATCCAATCGTGAGATTTTATGGTAATGGTAAGAAATGTATACGACTTGATGGACCGAAACACTTCTTACTATTGTAATAATCTCACAAGTTTTCTAATTTTCATTTCTTACCTTCTTTTTTCTTATTCCCTTCTTTTTTTTTCTCTTTCCACTCTTTCCTATTATAATTTCCGATTATAAGACTTAGAACTTAGAAGTTGATTTAGTGTTATGTTTCTTATCAGACATTCTTTTATGAACAAATTCTTACAAAAATTGGCTGCATTTTTAAATTCAAAGAACGCAAAAAAAATTTATATGAATGGTGTCGGAATTGCACCAGTATATTTTCATCCCGAAAAAAAAAGGGTGTAGGAAGCGGAGGAGGAGGATGAGAGTAGAAGAGGAAGAGCGAAGGCGCAGCATTTCAATATTTTTATAAGTGGAAACATTCACGGTGGTGAAATAAAAATACATTTTAAGCAAGCAAATGCTGCATTATTCATCAAACAATCAGTGTAAAATGAAAAAAAAAAAAATCATTTATCGTTTTCTTTCTGCTTAATTCGAAATTAAACATGAGCATGTGAAAAGATGATTTGATGCTTAGATTCGTGAATTCTCTTCCCTAATTTTTTTTTGCTTTTTCATTTTAAGACAGTGAGAAATAATAGAATATAGGGGATTGAGTATCATGTGTAGGAGGAAATGGTAGGATGCAGTCGATGTTTCATCCCTTAGCTGTAAACACAAATTGAATGTTGCACGCGGGTAAGAGTGAAAATCAGTCGAATTTTGAGAAGATAGACTCTTTCAGTTTCGAAAAAAAAGACTCTTTTCTTCATTGAATGTTTCTTGCCAGCTTTCATTAGAATTTTTTTTTTTCTTAATATTTTTGTAACCCACTTTCACATCGCATATTTTTAACGGAATGTCACAACTGCCGTACTGACCAATCCAGTTATGGTATTCGGAACAGTTGTATGTGACTTAATGGACGGAAACGTTCCTGTTCATTTGATTAATCTTCTAATATAATTTTTGTATTTTTCATTTATCTCCATAAATGTCTTCATTTCAATAATATCGGAGATCTCGAGGGGAACAGGGCGTAAAAGTCACCAATTATCAGTAGTTTTCCTAAAGATTCGCTTGAAAATCTTGTAACGTGAGTCGTAAAAATCCAGAAAGTCTAAAAAATCTAGAAAGTTTTTTTGAAAATTTAAGAAAATCTAAAGAAAATTTGAGAAGTTTTTTTTAAAAAATTTAAAAAACTTTTCTCCGGCAACTGATTAGCGAATTTTTATGCGCTTTTCCCGCAATCTGTAAATTCTCCACTAGTACTGATGTTGTTTCAGGATGTGTTGGCACATGTCGAGGGTACTTATTGTACTTAGTTGTCTGCAAAGGGTTTTCTCAATCGAGCATGATTCGGTGTGTATAGACGGTGATGATGGCAATTGTCCGGAGCCAAGCCATACAATTATGCGACTTACGGAAAGAAATGATAAAAAAGCTCGTCTAATTGCTAAGCAACATGGTTTGGAAATAAAAGTAAGCTTTTTTTAACAACTTAGAAATTTTTCAGGCACCTTTTTGTATTTTTAAGATTTTTTGATATATTTTTGGAATTTTCTTTTTTTATTTTAGTTTTTTATATAATTTTAATTGATTTTTTGGACGTTCACATAATTTTAAATGTTTTTCTACTTTTTATATATAACTAACTTTAATTTTTTCGATTTTATTTATTCGCAATTTTCAGTTATTTATAATTTTTCAAGCATTATTTTTATAGTCTTAAATATTTTTTTTGCTACAGAATTATTTAATTTTCTGCGGTTTAACTGAATTTACATAAACGAGTCAGAGAGAAGTATATTTCTTCTCAATGACTGAATTCGTGACTCCTTGATAACGGTGTTTGCGAATCCAGAGAATAGAACAGCGTCTTGAAATAATCTTTATTCAATGCTGGCATATTTAGGGTAAACCTTTTCTTGATGGTACTTATTATTTTGTTAGTCACTTATCGAAAGCACGCTCAAAGCGGCGGAAACGTGAAGTAATCGCAAGGTTGCAAGAGCATCCCGATGTATTATTAATCGAAGAACAAAGGCCTCGGTGAGAGAAACCTCATTTTTGAATTCTTGTTTGTGTTTTTAGCTTTTTTTTTTGCATAATTATCATCGAAAACTATTGAATCCACTGTGATTGTTTAACCGTATGTAACTATTGCTGAATTCATGCCTAATCGCTTGTTTATGGTGTGCTTTTCCATACATGCACTTGACAACTTTTTATAAACTTACTAGTTACCGCATTCCAGATGATCACCGCCCTACGGACGGGCAACTCATAGTCACCTTGTAGAGCAGCTACTGCCCTTGCTGGTCTTTACCCTTCACCGAATGGACCGTTGTTCCTGTCCCTCAGCTTATTAGCCTTTTCTTTTTGCTTGTAGGGCCTTTATGGCCCGTACTGCCTTCTAATTTTCCTGTTGCTTTGACCAGTGCTGCTTCATCGAGTGGACAGCTTAGGTGATCGTAGCATTCGTTTCATCTTCTCCCTTTTAACAGTTCAACCGAGAGTAGCATATTGGAAAATTAAGGTTTTTTTTTTAAGTTAAAAATCTTCCCGGTGATTCTGTTAAAATAATATTAGCCCCTACTGGTTCTAAAATAGTTAAACATCGCCATTAGTTCTTTTTCTGAAACGTCCGTAGGTTTTTCATAATTTTACGAATACATGAGGCAAATTGCTTAGAATAGTAAGTTCGCAGAATAGTAATTTCATAATTTTATGAAGTAAACGTTGAAAAATTGCAGAGTGAGGCGGAAACGTGATTATACATATCCCGATACAACGTATGAAACACTTGATGATAATGGTGGTGTTTTTCGTCGATCCGGTTCAGTAGCTGATCCAATACAAAGTATCGATTATTCACATCGTGAAATTCCGGTTTTGCCATTCCCAGATCCATTGTTCCGAGAGCAATGGTATTTTGTGAGTTTTTTAATTCTTCATTCTTTTTATGCGTTTTTGCAGCTGTGCAATGCAGAAAACGCATACTGACGAGGGGTTTTCTGTGTGTGTGTTTGTCTGTACCGATTTTCATCTCGAGGCCCACAAAAGCTCCGAGGTTGAAACTTAAGGAAATTAATCTACATGTGTGTACGAGCCCCCATTCCCAAAATGGGCGATGGGTGTTCTTACCCCCATGGTATCCACGCACGGGCCCGCCGAAGTTTTTTTCGGGCAAGCTGCTAACTCAGAAACCAGAGAAACTGGAAAGCTGAAATTTTGAGAGGATTTTCCCCGTCTAAGTGAGTATTAATGCCCGGGTGTGCATGGTACCCACGTAGGTGCTCGTGAAATTTTTTTTCGGGTAAGTTGCTAACTCGGAGCCTGGGAGACTGGAATGTTGAAGGGATGTTTCCTGGCAGTCCTGGCGGCCAGTCTGAAATTCTTTTAGCTAGAAGTATCTGCCGGAAAAACCAGTGTCGTTAGCGACAAAAATCTGCGGGGAGCTGTGCAAAAAACATCCTCGCACGGGCAGCCTGTGCGTTGGCCAGTTATTCATGCTTTTTGGCATCGCTCCCAAATCTCGCTCAGCAAAGATATCTTTCTTGATGTACACTGCCTTGATAAAATCGCTCACGTCGGGCTGAAATCGCAGTTCTTCACTGGAAATGTGTTACAAATTGCTAACACCTACCGTGATTTCGTTTCATGATTCTTTTGAGTTACCACGGACTTTTCCTCCTCAATAAACATGGTTTTACCCCATCATACTGGTGAATTTTGCAGAACAATGGTGCACAGGGCGGCTTCGATATGAATGTACGTGGTGCTTGGTTGTTGGGTTATGCCGGGCGTAATGTATCCGTATCAATACTGGATGATGGAATTCAACGCGATCATCCGGATTTGATAACAAATTATGATCCGATGGCCAGCACCGATATCAACGATCATGATGATGATCCAACACCTCAGGATAACGGTGATAATAAGTGAGTGTTATTGTCCGCATAAATATTACTGTTAAGGTAGTTTTGACCTAAGACAGCATTGAAGTAACAAAACCCTTGTAAGGGGCTCCGAAAAACGGGAAACATCCGTAGCTTTGCCAGCGTTGATTGCTTTTGGTATTTGCTATTACTCAGGCTATTTCCTTAATGTTTCCGTTTCCCATAATGAGCGAATACGGGGACTAGTAGAATAAAAAGATTGGACTTAAAAGGATTGGACATGTGTAAGAAGACATTTTTACGAAGCAGTCTTTGTTTCATCCCTTAGCTGTAAACACAGACCGAATTAAGCATGTGGGTAGCAACGGGAATCATCAGTACAGCCTCCTACCCGCCATGTACTGAACAGCCATGTAACTAATTTGCAAGACGGATATGCGAAAGAAGGAGAAAACAGAGAAAGAACAAACAGAGCAAGGCGAGTTGGGGTTGACATGTTGAATTGATTAACGTTCACACTTTTTTTGTACCATTTCTTTCATGCTCTCTGAGCTTTGTTACTGTGTAATTGGTGCATTAGCATTTGCATCTTTCAACTGGAAGGTAATTTGGCACTTTTTTGAATGGTAGTTTTATTTTTTAAATTCCAGGCACGGTACACGATGTGCCGGTGAGGTTGCATCAATTGCGGGTAATGAATATTGTGGTGTCGGGGTTGCATTTCATGCCAAAATTGGTGGTGTACGTATGTTGGATGGTCCGGTCAGCGATAGGTGTTTTCTTTGATATTTTTTCCAGCTGTTGTTTCATCGCCGCATTTCTTTTCGCAATTCTGCTTGGTTTTGTATCAGCCGTAAGATTTCATGCAGTCGTTCAATTGGATTCTTCCATTTCACTGAAGAACCTCTTGTTTTTTTTGATGGCCATAGGTTGGGTAATCCTCAAGTAGCGTTTCTCGCTATCCGCTTGTACATATTATAACGCTAATTGTACAGTTCTGCTTGTTGCAGTGTTGAAGCAGCAAGTCTTTCACTGAATCGTCATCACATCGATATTTACTCGGCAAGTTGGGGCCCGGAGGATGACGGTAAAACGTTTGATGGTCCTGGACCATTAGCCCGTGAAGCATTTTATCACGGCACAAAACTTGGCCGCGGTGGCAAAGGCAGTATTTTTGTTTGGGCCAGTGGTAATGGTGGTTCAAGGTTAGTTTTTATGCAC